GTGCGGGGGGGTCGTCCCTGCCGTGGCCCGGCTGCCACACTGGTGCTGATACAGGCCAGGGTGCTGGTGGCTTCTTGGCTGCCTGGGCACAAGCTGCTCATGTTCAGAGGCCCCCAGGTCCTTTTCCACTGAGCAGCTTTCCAGCCACTCTTCCCTAAGCCTGGAGCGTTGCATGAGGTTGTTGTGACCCAGGTGCAGGACCTGGCGCTGAGCCTTGTTGTACCTCATACTATTGGTCTCGGCTTATGGATCCATACTAATGATACGTACCGTGGATACACAATATGTGTGGTCGTCTTACTGACAGTTCTGTCTAATTTATACATGATTATTTATAGATGATTTCATAAATGAGATGTTTCATCCATTAGAGCAGTGACTGTTACTTGGCTGACGCACAGGACTCTGCACTTAGGAGTCTGCATGGCTTTGAATGAAAATACAGAATCAAAACATCTTGACTTCCTGGAAGATGCATCTCTCAGCTTATATCATTTACAGCCTTTGTATTTACCAGATAAAGAGTCTGTGGGTGGGGGTGGGGACTCTTTTATTAACCTTTAATTAGATAAAACCTTGTACATGTTACCAGAAAAGCTCAATTAGAATGCTGTTTCACGTGAAAAGTTGGTTTGGTTGGTGGTTTTTTGTCTTTTTTTATTGTAAGCATCATGAAGAAAATGATTAATTCTGTGTATTTTGTGTATTACTGCCATGGGAATACAGAATTACTGTTTCCATATGTGTATACAAATAGCAAACCACATGATGGTGAAGGGCAATTATTTCTTCTCCCGTCTCTCTCATCAGTTTTGGTAGGAGTTGAATTGAGAAGAGTTAGAAGCCTCGTTGCTTTGTCGTGTTGAGTGCCTGTATGAGTTCAAATCCAAGAAGCTTTCTCCTGATGCTGCAGCTATGTAATAATTAATATTTTCACTCTTGCACAGTTTATCACAGTTTTCTTTCACATCTTTCAATAACACATTAATTTTTTACATTCACTTCATAACTAGGAGGGTCTCTGTTGCTGGATCCAGCTGGCACATTGATGAGGGAATCCTGTGGTTCATGCTCATGTGTTCCTGGGAGGATGCTGCCTGGAGAGGACCTCCAGCTGCTGAATCTGCTGCTGCACCTCCTTATCTTTTAAATTATGGATTTCATAGCAGTAGCAGTTTGAAATAGGTCTTTGTACAACTTGTCATCACTCCAAAACCACATTTTGTGAAGTGTATTGCTTTCATGCCGTATAATCTCCTCTTTGATCTCCAAGTCAGTCATGTGGGGTTTTGTGATACTTCAGGATTTTCTGCAGCTTCAGGACCTTAGGATCTCAATAGCAAGTTGATGATTTCATGAGATAGAGGATAACGTTAAAAGCATTAAAAGTTGTACTTCTGTAGAGCTATGTTGCTGGTCAGTGCGTGTTAGAAGACAGGATTTGCAGAGTTAAGTTCTTCAGCACTTGTTCTGTTCTCTTTTATTGTCTCTTTTCTTGGTTAGTAACTGTATAAACTTCAGTTTACTTTCAGTGCTGAAAGTATTATGTAAAAAGCAGGATTTCTGCCTATATCAATGTTCCTAAATAAAACAAGTTCAGGATGAGGCTTTGACCCACCACAATCCATCTTGTTGAGTACTTGGCATGCTCTGTGCCACAGCTGGGGGACGATGTGTGCCAGTTATGGTCCAAATATGCTGGTTTGGCCCAACCATCCTCTGCAGGAGGGATGACCATTTGGCTTCCTCTGGGTCAGAGCACACTCCTGGGCCTGTTTTATTTCCTACTGTAGATGGTACCCATCTAGTTTCAGTCTTGTTTCTTCTTTTTGTTTGGTTAAACACTATTATAAGTCAGTGTTTAGTATGATTTTCACATACAACTCTTCTTAACTTCCTGCTATTTTTATGTTCACAGTACGGATGGGTATGCATGGACATTTGTCCATTTTATATGCACCTACAAAACAGAAGCTCTTGACCAGGGTGGTTCAAGAACACAGCATACGTTCACATATCTTGAATGCAGATGCAACCATCTGCTTAGCCTCCTATGAAGATTTTGGTTATATTTAATAATGATAATATTGATGTAGATAAGGAAGTTTTTAAATCAAGCTCATTGCAGTCGAAATGGATTTCTTGGAAAAGCTCAGGTTGTTTTTGGAGAACGTGAAGATAACTTATGTTTTCTCTCCATGCACTGTAAATAGTGATTCCAGAGAACTAAACGTAAGACTTACTTACTCTGAAGTTGTTTGGGCAGTGTTTCAGTCTGTTTTGGCATTGATCTCCCTGTGACACGTACCTGCTTCTTTTGCTGTAGGTGAAAAATGACTATATGTTAGAAATAGCAGATCAAGTGGACCAGGAAATTGCTTTGAAACTAGGTTGCCTTGAAATCCGGTAAGCTGATCATTTCATTTATTATTCAACATGTTTCTGACAGAATATACACATTCATTTTGGAACTGCTTAGAGCTGATCAATGTCTGACCAATGCAGTTGAATAAAACATCATAAGACTCCTTTAGCTACAAAGTAGGTTGAAGAAGAACTGAATAGACTGTATTGTAACTGGTTTCTGATGACACATAAACTAACATTAATTCTGAAGTTTTCATTAATTACATCTTGATGCTGCCTTTGGGGTGAATTCTTCATCTGAATAATTCAAAGACCTGTACAGTGAAGTATATTTAAAAGAATAAAAGTTCTATGCTGTTATTTAGCAAATAGTCTTGTCGTTGTGCCTGTATAAATCCTACAGCTAAAGGATATAACTAAAGACAAATGCTGCTACTTTTCCTCTCTGCATTTACTCGCATTTTAGTGTGCTGTTTTCAAATGGTTAGATCATAAAAGATGCTTTTTGGTGGTTTTGGTGTTCCTGTCGACTGTGTAGACAGCTGGAAAATAAAGATATGTTTATCAGATGGAGAGATCCTTGAGCTAGTTCCCAGCACAGCTTCTGAAATGCATGTTTGGGGTTTTTGCTAATTTATGGAGAGTTTCCAGCCTGAAAACATTTGCTTTAGTTCTGCTGTTGTCTCACCCAGGGAGATTAGGGACAGAAGAAGTAAAATTGATAAGAAATTAATGACAAATGTACACTTGTTACAGAGAAAAGTGTCCTTTGAAGAGTTCTTTCCAAACTAAAACACAGTTTAGGCTTATGAAACTTCGAGGTATCACAGGAGAAGCTGCTGGAAGTACTGCTGGTAGCCCCAGAGAAAACAAAACTCCTTTTAATTTAACTGTGAAGTCTTTATGCACTTACAATGTTGTTGATGCCTTACTTCAAAACATGAGTGATGATCCATGATTATTTGGTCAGCCAAGTTCTCATGCTGGGGCTCTTCAGAGTCATGAGGGATTTCTCATAGATGACTACTAAGAACTGGGTGATTTAGATTACATTTAAGTGAGAAGTTTCATATGGTGTAAAGAAGTTAGACATGAGGCAGAAGCTCTTCCCTGTGAGGGTGCTGAGGCGCTGGCACAGGGTGCCCAGAGAAGCTGTGGCTGCCCCATCCCTGGCAGTGTTCAAGGCCAGGTTGGACACAGGGGCTGGGAGCAACCTGCTCTAGTGGAAGGTGTCCCTGCCCGTGGCAGGGGTTGGAGCTGGATGAGCTTTAAGGTGCCTTCCAACCCAAACCATTGTATGATTCTATGAGTACTGGTCCACCCTCTCAGTGAAAACAGTGATCCAGCCCCTCTCCCAACAGCAGCTACTCATTCTTGATATATCTGTTAGGTTTCTAATGTGAACGTGTCTGGATTGACACTGGTTTCAGTATTCCCTGCTTCCTCTGGTTCTCCCTGTTACATGCACAGGCAGGAGTGCTGATACAAAGAAGGGAGATACTGTTGGAGGTAGAAAGGTGCTGCTGAAGGCAGGTTAGATGACTTTTGGTAGCAGCCTAGTTAAGCTGGTTTAAAGTGCTTCTGTAAATGCAGAACTGCTGTAGTCATGTTTTGTACAATAAAAATCTGATCTTTTGAGGTAGGAGAATAATGTACTGATTATATTTTAATTCATTCTAATAAGGTTTTCTAATGGTAAGTCTCTTTAAAGATTTGACTGTGTTGATGTTGTAGTTTTAGGCTGGATCATCCAATAATGGTTGCTTTCAAATATCTTTCCTGACTTCAGGAGATCCTACGGAGAGATGAGAGGCAATGCATTAGAAAAGAAGTCCAACTATGAAGTATTAGAGTAAGTATGATGTTCTAGGTTGAGGTTTGAACTGTTTCTTCATCCAGACCATTAAATTCAGTTGCTAACAGAAATTTTCATTGTAACTTTTTATTCCAATAAGTTTGTTGAGATCTTAAAGTGCTTTAATATAAGAAAAGGATGATGAAGCTGATCAAGGTATAGAAGTAGGAAGAGCACCTTTAATTCTAGACCAGGGAAGCAGGGTTGGAGTTGTTTAAACTTATCAAGCTTACTATGATTCTCTGCAATTTTGCTAAAGTTTATGGGTTCATCAAGTCTAATTCTGAGGCAGTTTTGTTTCTAAATGTTTTTCTGTGCATTCTTCAGTTGCAACTCATCTGTGGTCTTGAAAATGTGGTCCCATCTTGAAAACGTTTGTGGTGTTGGTTTTAATTGGCTTTAATCCTCTTTGTGATCTCTATGTGGATTTCCTGAATGGTGACCTTGCAATTAGCAAGTTTACCATTTATGAATCACAAATTTTAAGATAAGCAAGAAGCATCCTTACACTGGAAGTATTTTGGTTACTGCTGTGGTTTCACCCCAGCTGGCATCTAAGCCCCCATGCAGCCGCTCATGCACTCTCCCAGGTGGGATGGAGGAGAGGAGCAGAAGAGTAAAGGTGAGGAAACTCATGGGTTGAGATGAAGACAGTTTAATGGGTAAAGCAAAAGCCACACACACAAACAAAGCAAAGCAAGGAATTCGTTCACCACTTCCCATGGTCAGGCAGGTGCTCAGCCAACCCCAGGACAGCGGGGCTCCATCACACATAACAGTGACTTGGGAAGACAAACGCCATCACTCTGAACGTCCCCTCCTTTCTTCTTCTTCCCCCAGCTTTATATCCTAAGCATGATGTCCTATGGTGTGGAATATCCCTTGGGTCAGCTGGGGTCAGCTATCCCAGCTGTGTGCCCTCCCAAATCCTTGTGCACTCCCTGCTTGCTGGTGGTGCGGTGTGAGGAGCAGAAAAGGCCTTGACTGTGTGTAAGCACTGCTCAGCAATAACTAAAACATCCCTGTGTTATCAACACTGTTTCCAGCACAAATCCAAAACATCACCCCATGCCAGCTACTATGAAGACAATTAACTACCCCAGCAACAATCAGCACACTTACATAGTCATCTTGTACAGTAGATGGCTTTAGTCCAAACAATCTAAAGGACAAGGTCCTTCAGACACTTCAGGCCTTGAAAACTGATATAATTTGTTTTAATTTAGAGGAACAGATTTCATACAAACACCAAAGATCTCTTCAGTACTGATGATCTTTGTGAAAAGATACTGCACAGTGTAACATAAACTAAGGATAAAAGGTTGATGTAGCAGCAGCGTCTCTATTTTTCATTTAACAAAACAAGTTGCCAACTCTTAGAGTTGTGAAATCGGAGAATTTGGAGCTGGAAGATTTTTTGCTACTATGAATAAAATCACAAGGATTTTGGAGGAAAATTAGGACTTTAATAGATAAAGATGCCTTTCATGAAGTGTCTGCTTATTTGTAGACTTCCTGCTATTTATATAGTACTCCCCTATCAGTGTTGAATTTTTAAAGCTTTGGTTTTGTTTGAATTAAGGGGTTTTTTAAGGAATTCAGTTTTCTGTCAGTAGTAAACATCCTGGTTGAGGAAATGCAGGAATGAGAAAGGACTTACAAAGATGAATGGGAAGAGCAGATAGACGCGGCTGGAAGGTGATGTAAAAGAGAGTTGAACATCCTGTGAGTTGCAGTTTCCTTCTGTTCCAGTAAGAACTGGAGAAAGGTATTTTTATGTCAGGTATTTGGCAACTCAAAAGCTGCAAACATTAGTGGTTAGTTTAACAACTTCGGGAAAACTGAGACAGAGGAATCCTTGCCCATGGCAGGGGGTTGGAACTGGATGATCTTTAAGGTTCCTTCCAACCCAGACCATTCTCTGATTCTGTAACAGATGCCACCAAGTATTAATTAATAATTACAACAGGTGAAGAGTTCCTGGAGGACTCAGCATGGGGCTGCTTCCAGTGGAACAGTGACTTGTTTCTTTCCAACTCTTTTCCACTGTACTTTCCAAGCAGTAACTGTTTTGGTAGGAAATAACTTAATTGCTGTTGTGAAAGACAAAGTGAAGCAAACCCCTGATATGCAGAATCTCTGTAGAATTGGAAATGTACAATTGTGCACTTCAAGATTGTGCATTTTTTATATCTTTGAGGGGCAAATTGTGGTTTTTATGGGATTTAGCTGGGAGAGATGAAGGATAAAAGCACTTTAAAGTGGCTATAGATAATTACAAGCTAGTAAGAGTCTGCAAAAGTGCCAGCCTTGCCTAAAATGTTCTTATTCTATCTTGCCACCTTAAGAGCTTATAAAGGTTTATCTACACAAGTTATATTTATTTCTCAAGTGAGGCTTTTTATTTACTTGGGTTTTTTCACTAGTTTCAGTCCATCGTGAGGCACTTCACCAGCTGAGTGCAATTTTTAAATGGCACTTTTTGCATCTGCTGTGATTGCTCCTTGCCTGGCTTTGTCACACGGCTGCTTGGTGTATATTTGTCTTTGATCAGATTTTCATACAAGACCAAAGCTGGATGGGAAATGCTAGATAGAATCAAACTGTTAAGTAGCCTTTAATAGTTGGGCCCTCATGTAATGAAAGAAGAATTTCTTCATAATAAATGTGAAGCCTGTTAGCGCAGAACAGGGATAATTACAAGTAGAAAAATGGGAGCTATATGAAGGAACAGCTGCAGCCACAATTTTGTCAAAAGCATGTTAAAGTCTATTATGTTAATCTAGCACTACTTTTTTGTTGTAACTTCAATTGAGATGAAAAACAGAAATAAAGATATATGTTGCCTAAAGCTGCTTATCGTTCTATGACAAGCGGTATCTGTGTGTAGTTGGTGTTTTATTAATCCTGTTGAAGTTTATACATTAAAAAATACATTTGCATGTGAGCCCACAAGTGGGATGGAGTAGATGAGGTTAAAAACAAAGCTGTCATAGAACTGCATGAACCAGGATCTTGCTGCTAATTATCTCTTGCTGGCAATCAGAAAACAGATGTCTGAGTTCTTAATGTGGAGGACTGAGTTGGTGTGTGTCCCGAGTTGGCCATTCCGCCCCACGCAGTGCAGCTGAAAAGAAGGAAAACAACAAGTTTGAAGGGTTTTGTGTTTAAAACTGTTTGTATTTTCCAGTTTCCACTGGTTAATTCTCTTATTTATAGGTACCCAGAGCTTATTGTTGCCCATGGCGTGAAATCTGTATGCTGCTTATGTTAAATTCTCCTCCAGTAGATGAATTTGCTGTCACAGTTAAACACAGGATATGCTTTATTAACATTATTATTAGTTTTTCTTAATATTTATTCTATTAAGTTATGCTTTGTTGTGCTCTGCATAAGAATTTCTACTGAATTTGTCACATGCAGCACCAAGGACCACTCTACAACTCTCCTTAATCACAGATCAGCTTGTTGCAGCCTTGTGCTTTCGCAGTTAAGATGAGTAATACTGGAGCGATGCAGGGTGCTTCATCTTTGAACACACCATTTCTCTCTCAAATGCTTAATGTTAAACTAATACATCCCTTGTCAAAATGTCTTCATGTTATTTAGATGGTAATAGTGTGTTAGATTTATTTAACCATGTGGGATGATAAACCGCATAGCATTTGCATTTGAGAAGAAATGCATCAAAGGAATTAACATTTATGAAAGTTCTATAATCTTCCAGCTCACTGTCATTGCACAGATGCCAGCGTGTGCTGCTGCATATGAACATTCTCCTCTTAGATGAGGATGGGTTTAGTATGTTTTGTGAAATGGGATACTACTTGTCTGTAACGAGAGCTTTAAAAATACCCTGGGTTATTATTTGGAGTAAGCTTTTTATATTGACTTTAATGTTGGCTTTCTTCTTGTGCCATTAGGTAGCAGTAAATCTGTACTGTGGCTTTTCTTCCCTTTGCCAAATGCAGAAATTCCACATGTATTTCTGTGTCTGTTCAAAGCATGCAGTCACGGAAAGCTTTCTCTCATACTTGTTTAAGAGGCATATAAGCATGTTTAAAAGAGATTGTAACTTCTTGCATGTAAAGGGAAAATGTCAGCAACACCTTTGAGAGCAGGAAGCTCCAAGTCCTTTTCTTATTTACATTTTTCTTTTAGTTTTTCCTTTTTCTCATGCACATTTTCTGCTGATACTATACAAGTAGTATCACAGTCATGCGGCGTTTGTTACACCTGGTTGTACAGTGATTGCACTAACATCTCCCTGGCAACCTCTCGGGCATATCCCTCAAAGCTAATCTTTAGTTGTAGTGATCCACACATCAGACATAAACTGGGTGCAGCCACACAAATATTTAATCCTTACAGCTCTGGGTTTCAAAGCAGGGCTGCAGCCCCTGTCTGTAAGTGTGAAGGTGAGGAGCTCGGTGTAATTGAGTTTGCAAAATCCAAGCTCATGGACAGAATTGGGATTCTGATTGACAGAGGCAAATAGGGAGGTTTCTTGCAAGAAAAATGTTAACATTAAATGCTCAAAATGAGGAAAAAGTAAGAGTAGGAATAAAAAAACCCCTCTAATTACGGTGCTGCAGAGGGTAAACCAGCAGTGGAACAGCAGTCAGTGTCCTTACTGGGGTGATACCTTTCTTTTATGTTGCATCTTCTAGTCTAATCTAACAGAAGTTTTCATGTTGTTCCCTTCTCACCTGACTGTAAGAATATTTTCCCATATTCTTTAACTTACTAAAACATGTACCAGTTTTTATTTCAAGACTTCTCTGTGCCCAAGCCAACATTTCAGACAATACACTTTCCACACCAGGTACCTGTTGTAAATGCAATATCCTTTTGAATTTAAAGTAGAAGATACAACTACCCTGCATTGGCTGTGGAGTGGCTCTGTTAGCATTTTAGTAGTACTGTGTTTGTTACTCTGAGATGGTCAAGGTCCTTACTATGAACATCATTTACTATATTGCATCTGCTAGTTAAAAACTAACACAAACAAACCCAGACCCAAACCACCAGGCTAAGAATGAGCACTATAATGCTGCCCAGTGGTTGTTATATTAATGCTGTGTGTGTTTCTGTTTCAGGAAAGATGTTGGTTTGAGAAGGTTTTTCCCGAAGAGTTTACTAGATTCAGTAAAGGTAATGACAGTTGCAGTCAATTGTGTACCACTTGCATCAGAAACCTGAAAATCACACAATCATTTTCACATAGAGTCAGAATGGAATTGCTGTGGAGTTGTGCTGTCATGGTATAAAATACCAAAGGTGACTGTCAGATTGGTAGGTAGCGTGTAAATCCCAGTCGTAGAGGTGTGCAGTTGGCAGAGCTAAGATAGTAGTGATTTACTTGGCCTTGCTGAGCACAGGTACACCTGCCTCTCAAACCTTATGGACAGAAGTTCAAAACAAGTCCTCAAAGCCTCTAATATCAAATACTTGGGGTTTTGCCCCCTAGAAGTGAAATGAGACTTCTGGAGAAAGAGGGACATGAAGGAAAACAGCATCTTTTTAGTGGCAACTCAGTACACCATATTCTGCCTCCCCTGCTCAAGTATCTTAACTCATTCAAGGGAGATTTCCAGTAATTTCTGCTTAGGTTAATCCTAGTTAAGACTATAAACGTTAGTTGAGTCTTGCTTCCATTGAAGTCCATATGTTCCCAGAATAAAGAATGCAAATTTTCCTCAGCATGCTTTGAAAAGGGGGATTAAGGATGGTCACCAAGTATTTTTACAGTCATAGCTGTCTGATGTGAATGTCTTGGTAAAATCTCTCTTAACCATTCCTATGTGAAAGTATAAATCATAAATTGGTGTTTCAGAGCTGGGTTTGGTAAGCAGGCATAATAGAATTCAACTTCAGGTTTAGTAAGTTTCTACATTGTCATTTAAATGGATAAACAGAAAAGGTCTGTCGGGAAGGGGTTTTGTTTCAACAGACTTCTGGAAATCAGCAGCTAATGAAGTCAAGTGGATTTAAGTAATCCCTCTGCATTTTAATTTAAGCAATTATCTGCAACTGTATTCTCTGCTAAGGGGAGAAATGGTGGTGAAAGGCTCCAGAGGTAAAAGAATGAATGACTGTCTCAAAAATGATATCACGGAGCCAGAAAACTGACCAACAAAGGAAACTGCTCTTTAGCAATCATGAAATGGAGAGAACAGCAGAACGAAGTAGCAAGAAGCATTGTCAGAAGGTGAAGTTGAGTAGAACCTTGCAAAGGCATGAAAAAAGACATTGGCTGTTTGAAGAGGAGAAACAAGGGAAGGAAGATCAGGTCTGCTTTGTAATGAGAATGAAAAATAATCTCAGATTGGTTCAACTTATTAAATGTCTTGCTTTGTGATGAGCAGTGATTTTGAACTGGCAGGCAAAGGAGGGCTCCTGATGGCCATGAAAAACAAAACTAATTGCTACTGACAGGAGGAGATAGTAGCTATACAGAGGATATCATTCTGTGTATGCGAAGACCAGAAGGCTGGAAAAGTGAAAATACGTAGCAGTGCAAAGTATGAGGTGATAGACAAGGGTTTAAAAATAGAAAGTTCAGCTTTATTGAGGTTGTTCATTAAATAACTAAAGAAGTCGGGAGTTTAAATGCATCCATGTATTAGCTGATCACAGAGTGTCTGTAGGACATAATGTAAAAGAAAGTAAGCGCTGTCCTAGGAAGCATCGAGGGAGGTTTCTCCTGGAGGAAACATTAAAGTCGTTGGACAATCCACTGTATCTCATATGTGCTGCAAATAGTTCTGTTTATCCTTGTTCAAGAGTAAGTCAGTCTTAATTCACCTACAGAGGAAAGGTTATTGAGTCAACAGGCCTTCCATTTTCATTACTTCAGTAGAGAAACCTTTCTATGTTTAGCTTCATCAACAGTGCCTTAAAGATGACATTATTGCTAAGCCATGCTCTCTGTGTGTATCATAGAACAGTTTTGGTTGGAAGGTACCTTAAAGCTGATCCAGTCCCAACCCCTTGCCACGGGCAGGGACACCTTCCACTAGAGCAGGTTGCTCCAAGCCCCTGTGTCCAACCTGGCTTCGAACACTGCCAGGGATGGGGCAGCCACAGCTTCTCTGGGCACCCTGTGCCAGCGCCTCAGCACCCTCACAGGGAAGAACTTCTTCCTTATGCGTAGTGTAAATCTCCTCCTTGTCGGTTTAAAAGCATTCCCCCTTCTCCAAGCTCTACAGCTACAGCTGTGTTGGTACTACCAGGTAAGAGAAAGTTGATTTGGTGAGGCACTGGAATAGGTTGCCCAAGGAAGTTGTGAATGCTCCAACCCTGGAGGTGTTCAAGGCCAGGCTGGACAGAGCCTTGGGCGACATAGTTTAGTGTGTGGTGTCCCTGCTCATGGCAGGGGGGTTGGAACTAGATGATCTTAAAGTCCTTTCCAACCCTAACTATTCTAAGATTTGGGTCAGTAGGAAGGTGTAGGTTGCTGTGGTTTTGTATTGGTGCACAGTTAAGAAGTTGGGAGAAACGAGTAATCTGGAAAAAAAAGTCCCTGCAAAGGTTAACATGTCTTATTATCATTTACTCAAAACATGGTTAGTTGGATATTCCCTCTACAATGTGTAATAGAGAGAACATTGTTCCCAAGCAGAAGTTAGAAGGCAGAACTGTTACTAATACTTGGAAGCTTCTTTTCTTGAGAACTGTCTGCATCTGAGTGATAAAGAAACTGTCAGTGATACTCTGAGCAGTGATTAGATTGGAAATAACTGATCTTTAAACATTTTAATACCCAGGCCAAAACACTACGAAAATTAATCCAACAAACGTTTCGACAGTTTGCCAACCTCAACAGAGAAGAAAGTATTCTGAAGTTCTTTGAGATCCTCTCTCCAGTGTACAGATTTGACAAGGAATGCTTCAAGTGTGCTCTTGGTGTAAGTAAGGAATGTGCCAGTCACCAGAATACATCCTGTCATGATGAGTTCTGCTTAGTTCGGACTCATTGCCTGCTTAGTTCCTGGTTTGATTGGATTTCCTTAACAACAAAGTGTATTTCTTGAACTTATTTAGAACTTTCTCAACTGGCTGTTAAAAAAGCACCATTTATTAGTAGGGTGAGAATTGTATGTCATTCAATACTTCTGTTGGTGCTTCATGTGTGAAAGTCAAGCAGTTTTTAAGCTGGTATTATGAGGAAATGAGAGGTCTCAGCTGCTGCTGTTTGTCATTTCCCCCCCTGATGCCTTTTAATCTCTATCAATTCCAAAGAAATCTTGAGAGACAGCCTTAACTCTGCAAGCTTTGTGAAAATAGATACACAAGTAGAAATCAGAACATGACCATCAGTGTCCATGAGAAGAGGAAATACAGGAAATACATAGTTCTCATGTAGACCTAAGATAAAACACATGGCAGTGCACTTTGAGTAGCTGGGATCCCCGGGAAGCCAGTCATGAGGAGTGTTGCTACTTATAAACCTGCTTGATTTTAATTCATCTTAAATGCTTTGAAGAGTTTAAAAGCTTCTAGAGATGAATTGCTGCAAACTGTCGTTCTGACATTGGAGGAGGGTGTTCCATAGCAGGGTCTTGTCTTACTATTGAAATTCTGCCCTGTCTCTCTCCTTTGATTCTGAAGTCAAGCTGGATTATTTCAGTGGAACTGGCAATTGGTCCGGAAGAAGGAATCAGTTACCTTACAGACAAGGGGGCAAATGTAAGTCTACTTCTGTTTTCTTCTCTCAGTTACTGTCTTAACAAGCATGACCTGTTGTGAACTAAAATTCACAAAGAGGGGAATGGCAAGTCTTATCTTTGAGTTAAACACAGAAGAGCATCTACAGCTGTTACTCAGATACTAACTCATGATTTAGGATCAGAGAAAGTGCAGTTGGGTTAAGGAGAGAAACTGTGTCAGCCTTAGCACTGAATTTGGTGACTTTGGTACACAGTGAAGTGCTCACTTGTAGAATTTGAAGCATTGGTGGACTTTCTATTAATGAAACATACAACTTATTCTAAATTACTCTCTTCTTTCTTAGGAATGTGTAAATGAAGAGCTTTTCAATCAGTGTCTGGCATTTCTGCAGTCGTTGCTGCCTCATTTGCTTTACTTTTTACCCTTAATAATACCCTTTTCATTACTTGATCTTGCCCATATTTCAGTGTTTCCTGTACACCTCCATAGTGCAAGGAAGTTATGTTCAAACAGGTTTTTCTAGCAAAATGTTTGGGACCTTTACAGACATGACTTAAGTTGAGCCCATGTCCAATTTCTATTGTAATTTATTCTAAGGTAGTGAAAAGGTTTGGAGATCAGGAATCCGTACCCAGCCAAGAACATACCTTACAGCAGTCTGGAGGTATGTTAAGTATACTGTGAGTGCAGGTTGCATGTGGTTAACGTGTTGAGATTGCCATCTTGACCTCCAAGAGGTTGTTCCTACTCTGTGTGTACTTTAGCATGTGGCTGGAGTTACTCAACAGTGACCTCTGTAGGCAAGCTTGGTGCTTGGTTTCATTCTGCAAGTCATGTGAGTATTAGTGTATGTTGTTAGCCAGAGCCTAATGAAACTGAAACAGAGAAACAGATTTTCACAGCGGTAATTTGGAGATCAAGTCTACATGTGCTTTTGCAACATCAGGAATAAAGGCTAATTTTGCAGTGATTTTGCCATTTTCCTCACTTTTTCTGTTGCCTTTCTTCAGCCAACTCATCTCGCAGACTTCAATCAAGTGCAAACTATTCAGTATTCAAACAGTGAAGACAAGGACAGAAAAGGGATGTTGCAACTCAAAATAGCAGGTGCCCCTGAGGTATGATATTGACAGTCGTGATAAACTTACTAGTTTTGGTTTTCCTGGGAAGGGGTAGAGATGAGTATACTTTTAATGAAGATAGTCTGTATATTGTACTTTTGTTCTGGTCCATGACTTTATATCGTCAGCATAATGATGATGTGCTAAATGTACCCTTCACTTCTGCACGTGCAGGTTTAAGCTGGGGACTGCCCATCTGTGTATGTGTTCAGAGACTTCAGTTGCTGTTAAATTCTCCTGCTTCTCCTGCACTTACAGCCAGTGCATTAGGTTTTACGTTTTGCGTTGTGGGTATTCTGTGGTTGGTTGGGTTTTCTTGTTCTTAAAGGGGAAAGGGAAGTTGAGTGAGAGCAGTTCTCATTATTCTAGTCAGGTGGTTTTGGTTTTAAAACAGTGTTTTGCATCTGTGGCTTGTAGACTTTGGTATTTGTAAAAGAAGCCTAATGTAAAACTGCTAGCCCTTAAATCGACCTTAATGGTAACCCGCTTATGTATATGATGCTACTTCCTAAAGAGGAAACTGAGCAATTTCACTTTTGAGAAAAGGGGAAATATGAAAGAAGGAAAATTGGTTCCCTCATGTTACATGGAGGCAGAGCTGGAAGTGAAATCAAATCTTTTCCTTGGTCCAATGCACTGGAAAACAATCACTGTGGTAGGGAAGGATTGAGGGCAAGTTGGCAAATCTGTGCAGAGGATGATGGATGGTGGTGGTATTAAAATTACTGTCTGTATGTCTCTCATCTCCTTTTCCACTGTCTTTTCTTATTTTAATCTTTTCTTGCAATTGGGAAGGTTACTTTTTAGGGCAAAGAATAAACTGCTGTCGAAGGGGGGAAAAAGATCCCACCTGTAAGAGCTTTAAGGAATAAGCAGCTTCAGAATTGCCATAATCATAGCTGTAAAGTCATACCATACGTAGTGAACAGTGCTTGACTGGAAGTTTAGCTAACAAGGCACTTAATAAGCCCCGTTGAATATCACATTTGGGTGGAGGGTTTTATCAGCTGTGCTTTCTGAACCTTGTGTTCTACATTTGCTACATAGAAGGTGAAACAAGAATCTTCCGTCGCTCTTTACACGCACTTGCAAACAGTAAACAGAAGAATGTGGGTGAGCGGAGTTCTGATGCAATGACACAGCTGTTCTGCTCAGTGTTTGCAACTACAATAATACCTCTTTGTTGGTGCCTTGTTTTTTCCCTTCTTCAGCCTCTGACAGTGACAGCACCATCCTTAACCATTGCAGAGAATATGGCTGACTTGATAGACGGATATTGCCGGCTGGTGAATGGAGCTACGCAATCTTTTATCATCAGGCCACAGAAAGGTAAGGAGGTGTTTCATCCTGGTTGTTGCTATAGTTGTATCTATTGAGAGAGTACTTTGCTCTTGAATGAAAGAGAGAAGGTAGCAGCAAACCCCTTACTTGAAGGGTACTTTACTCTTGTCTTTCAGGGAGGAACCATGAGGTATTTTTGTTACGAGAAACACTGATAGTAAATGTTATTCATCAAGAATCACTCAATTTAGACTGGTTTTCAGTAATCACTGCTTTACACTAAACTGAACCAGCAGAAGTAAATTGTGATTAAAGGCACTCCTAATGAGGATGTGTTATCTTGAAGTGTGATTTCCTAATAAGTGGAAATTCAGAGGTTGGTTAGAATGCATTTGGATATGGTTTTGACTCATCTGACTAGTCATGGGAAGTGTCATGAGGTTTTCTCATAAAATAGAACTAAAGCATTTTGTACTATTGATCAATTGAATTTTAATTAAATTGCATTAGAATTAGTGAAAAACATCCAGGGAAAGCTGCTTAAGAATGGAAATTTCAATCTTCCTGTGCTAATCTTGAAACTCATCCAACTTGTTTGGCTTCTGAAAGAGTGAATAAACTACTTCCTTCTTCCCTGTTCATAATACAAGAAAGTAAATGAACTGTCTCAGAAGCTCTTCAGTCTGAAGTTCACTCCCTTTTAGCCACGGTTTTGTGCCTTTTTCTGATCCTTCACCAGTGTGACTGACCTTAGGCTCCAGCACAGACAGCTTTCTTAGAAGTTCTGGTAGTCATGCACCCTTCTCTCAATACAAAGGATATTCATCTTCCCTCAGCACAAACTCGGCTTTTGTAGCTGACCTGCTGCACAGCTCAGTGCTGATGAACCAAGATTCAAACCCAAAAGGATAAGCTGGCATTGGTGATAATGCTAGTTTATTGTTTTAAAACTAAAAGAGGCATCAGAAACCAAGATTTTCATTTCAGTAGACTCCTGTACCTGTGAGCAATTGTCTTTTGTGCTTCTTTGTTTCTGAAAGATCATGGTTTGGGGTTTGTCACAATCCTTCTTGTTCACTCCCCAGACTTCCCTTCTCGTAGCCACTGGATTGGCTGGTTTTCAGCCTGAGCTCTAGTAGCTAAAATGGAGGTTGTAAAACCTTTTGACATCCCAACACGTCACCTCTCCCCAGCTCTCAGCTCATGGGTAGCTCTGACTCTGTCAGAGGCACATGCATAGAGTATGTCCAGTTCTTGCCACGTCTGCACTGGTGGTGTTGCAGATCTTTGGTCCGTTCAGTCTGCATTGGCAGTGCTAGCATCAGCTTGTTCCTCTGCTACTAGAATGGCTTTTCTTACCTGCACATAAATGCTCTTGACTCCACAAAAGATCACTGCCTGATGATTTCAAGTTCTGTCACAACAGCAATCAGGGGCCATCAAGACCTTCATAAAGGACATGGTCTAGTGTGAGGCATGTCTGCACCATGGCAGGGGGCTGGAACTAGGTGATCTTAAGGTCCTTTCCAACCCAAACCATTCTATGATTCTATGACATCATTAAGATGGGCTGAGAGAGCTGGGAGTGTTCAGCCTGGAGAAGGCTCCGGGGAGACCCCCAGTGTCTAAAGGGGCCCATAAGAAATCTGGAGAGGGCTTTTTATAAGTGCATGTAGGGATAGGACAAGGAGGAACGGCTTTAACTTGACAGAGGGGAGGTTGAGATTAGACATTAGGCAGAAGTTCTTCCCCATGAGGGTGCTGAGGGGCTGGCACAGGGTGCCCAGAGAAGCTGTGTCTGCCCCATCCCTGGCAGTGTTCAAGGCCAGGTTGGACACAGGGGCTTGGAGCAACCTGCTCTAGTGGAAGGTGTCCCTGTCCTCTGCTGTTCTTACCCACCATAAGAGCACCTCCCTGGCAAAATCTCTACAGGATTTACAGTGTCCTCTTCAAGACTTACTTTTCATGATGCTTACAAGCAACTGCCACCAAAGGTTAGCGGGGCTGCGTGCGTCCTGACTTCCTGCTGCTGTGGGTGACAAAAAATGGACCCACTCTCTTTGCACTTTTTGTTTCTAATTCTTGTTTCCTCTGACCTGACTTACATTTTGCTGTTACATCATCAAGACCCACTAAACCCCGTGAAGGGCAAGATCTGTGATTTGTCTGTGTTACACAACCTTGCACCGTGGTTTGCTGGTAGGCACGAATGCAAAATACATCAAAGCATTTAACGGAGTGTTTATTTGTGTGATATTCTTATTGGTGTATTTTAACATGGAGCAGAAGAGCAGTGATTGAGTTCAAGGACCATTGTATAGCACTTTGGGAACATTCCTCTTTATGCAAACATGAAGAGACTCCCTCCAGTTAAAACAAATTGTGGGGCTCTTTTGCCTGAAGATTCTTTTTTTTGAAGTCTCATAACAATACTCAACATCTTAATTAAACTTCTCATAGGAGAGCTGTCCCCATCATCATCTGCATTCCCAGATCCCTCCTGCAGCGAGCTCTGATTGTATAAAGCACACCAGAAACGAATCATGTAGCAACTCTTGATCCGACAGATGCATTTTCTCCTCTCTTTGAGCTTTCCTGTCCACTCTTTGTTGTAAACTCACATGTTTATTACAAGTCTCCTCATAAATTACCCCTCTCGATTACTAGAAGATCCTTTGGTTTTTGATGTTATCTGTCTTGCTAAGCATTAATAGTCCAGTTTCTCTTATCTGGTGAAAGCATTTGGTAGTGTTTGAGACCTGGGCTGTATTTGGCATATGCCCCATCAGTTTGTTATATTTTCCATAAATATTTTGGTATACAGGTCTGCTTAAACCAACATGGACACTTTAAACTTAATATCTGTGTATCCATTATCACACTGAGCTTTTTACAGGCAAAGGGCACAACTGAAACAACATTAAAATTGAAAGTGATGCTGATGGGACTCTGCACTCAGCAGCTTTTCTGTGGTCTTCATCCTAGTGGTTAAATTGTGTATCCATTAATCACTTTAAACAAGTTTTATAGGTCATGCAGAATTGTCTAAACTCTTACAAAAGGCTAAAAAGACTCTGGGGAAAAAAGAAACCCCACCACCTGAGCAACCAGAGTAGTTACCTGATTGTAATTTCTTTATGCCAGAACTCATCTTTACATTGAAACATTCCCTTTGAATCTGGGATCTGGAGCTGGGATTACAGGAGTGGTAGAAGGTACTGGGTGTCTGTGCCAAGTTTTGGTAGTTGGGTGGCCGCTGTGGGAACAGAGATGTGACTGTCCTGTGCCTGTCACAGCTGCCTCCACACTGTGCCACCCTTGCCTCTGGGACACACACGCTTGATAGTTATCATTAGAACACACATTCATCACACATTCCTTATGGCTTCCACTTACATCAACAAAAATTCCCAACATCAGAAGTATCATCTAGAATGGTCTGGGCTGGAAAAGACCCTTAAGATCATCAAGTCCAACTGCTAATCAAACTCTACCAAGTCCACCACTAAACCATGTCCCTGAGTGCCACATCTACATGTCTTTCAAATGCCTCCAGGGATGGTGACTCCACCACTTCTCTGGGCAGCCTTTTCCAATGCTTGACAACCCTATCATAGAATCATAGAATAGTTAGGGTTGGAAAGGACCTTAAGATCATCTAGTTCCAACCCCCCTGCAAACCCAAAAGAGAAATAGAACAGTATAGACACAGTAAAACTGCTCTCCTTGTCCCATCACCACTTAGAACAACGCATTCCCAACACCAGCATCCAAGCTCCCGTCATGACGGCACTCCCTGACACTCTCCAGTCAGCCTTTTTGGCTGATGCCTCTTTCTTTTGCTGCCTTGAACTCCCGGAGCTCCAGGTCAGGCACCAGAACCAGGGGTTAGCCGTGGCCAGCAGCAACCTCAGCTGCTTACTCACCCCTCTATTTAAATATATCACCAATTGAAATTATATTTGGGTTGTGAGACACAAAGACGAAGTTTGAGCAACATCTTCCCTCTACATCCATCCCTCTCCCTTTCTTCCTGTTCCCACCTTCACCCTGACCCCTCTCCCCGAGGCGCAGGGTGCGGATGGGGTTGCGCTCAACCCAGCACAGCCCCTCTCGGCCGCTGCTCCCTCCTCCTCCGTCCCCTGCTCCATCACGGGCCCTTCCCTGGCTGCATCCTTCATGGACACCCCGCTCCCGCCCGGCTCTGCACGGCCGCAGCTCCTGCAGGGACTACCCCCCTCCCG